GCTGCAGACTGCATGCGTGGTAAGCGGTGCAACTTATCAGTACACAACAGCGGGTCGTTGTGAGGCGTAGCTTAAAGGCACGTTCCGCCATAAAGTAAGGCTAAAGCCTTCCAAATGCATAAGTGATCCAGTACGCGATTACAGAGGTTGTAGTACATGTAAATTTGTAAAATGGCAAGCGAAGCGCACGAAGCTCAGATTTTAAGCCGAAGGAGGCCCATGCCGGCCTACATTGCCCGTGCCGTAAAATTTTCATTGTGCTCTCGCCGGTCAATTTCTGGTCTCTCTCCAGGCTTTGCAGTGCATCGTCACCTTCTGCATATCACTGTTGATCTTGACCATCTTACGCTCGTCCAGGACCATGATCAAATGCAAGAAGGGGGCCATATCGAGGGCGGCTTTTCATACTTTCTTCTTCACTAGTAAGTCAACTAGCACGAATGCACTTCTGTTTTTGAACCCTATTACCTACGATGTACTGCGGGAAGTGCCTTGAGGAACGAGCCGGATTTTAACTGCGCCATTTTTCTGCACTAAAATGAGTTTGCTGGCCAAGAAACGTAACAGTGTCGCCAACTGTTGTCTATCACAATTTTTAGAACTCTTCGCGCTCCCTTGCAAGATTTGCGCATCTAGCCAGGCAAGGGACACGTTTGTGCTTAATCAACCATATCATGTGAGGTGATCTTTGGATTGATTTTTTGTTCCATCAGATTTTTGAAGCTTCACCAGCCAAAAGAATGCTCATTGTTCGAGAGGGAGACCATTCTGCACTTCACGAGGGACAGTCACTTGTCACGACAAAACAGTGGTACTCTAAAATAACTTGCAGTGTGGCCTCGTAAAATCGTTAAAATATTTGTAGCTGTCTTCATTAGTGACAGATAACATCATGTACGAATAAATAGTAAATATCAGTAATGCAGCACAGTGTATGACCATGACCCTTTTTTTACTCAATGTCAGTTTTCAGGTTTCATTGAATGTCGGTTTCATGTTTGGTCGTTTGAACAACGGCTGGTCACACATGGTCGTTTACGGGTTTGCCTATCCGATGCTTCTTCTGACGTTGATTGCTCCACTATGTGCAGTGATGTTAGGCATGGGAAAACGAGAGAAACGTGAAGGCGATCGCAGATTTGTAAGTGCTTCCCGTCTATGACTCATCCACTTACTATTGCGGCAATCTTGTATGCTTATGTAAGGCGCGAGGGGATAGGCGGGGACGTGCCAACCAGAATCGTTTCGCGACAACCCTGCGGCACGCGGCGCCGTTCGCGCGCGAATGATCAGCAGCTTCACGTGCTGCATTTGCTAGCCGGGTGAGCTTCTGCAACTGAGCAAACGATTTACTTACAGCTCGCTACATCCACACATATTAGCAGGTTTCATCAATGACTTGAAAATCTAATGATGTTTTTCTTGATAGTAACACACAATTGTTTGGCGGTTCCATAAACGCAACTTCAGGAAATAAACAGATACAAAAGAAATCAGATAAGGCCGTGATTCTCCCTATGTTTATGTGGTTCACATGATTTGCGCAGTCGCCAGCGTCAATATAATAGGACGGATTCCAGTATTATTCTGCTTGAGTTTGCCCTGTAAAAAATGACAAACCAGAGCAAATGTTAAAGACCCCAATGAATTTCGCTGATTTTTCTCTACTGAACTTGTTCATCTAACTGAAAACTTAACCGTAACTGAACACAAAACTCGATCCTGGGTGATATGGATATTTACCTTTCCTTTTCAATGAACCCTTATTTCATAACAGCCAGAAGATGCTTCGTTTCTCCCGTATGTCATAGGCCAAGCCCACCAGCTGCACTGGACGATTATGTTGCTACACACCCAGGATACTCTTGGAATTTAACCGCTCCTTTTGTGAAAGGCAAAAAGTCAAAGTAACCTCTGGTTCGCTGCCAGTATTGGTTGCGGCAGTATCAGGGCAGTATGGAGTATGTTACCCCGTCCAAAGCCGTTTCTTTTGCCTTGTTGTTGAAGCTGCGCATGCGACCAAAAAGTGGCTGAAACGAGTAACACTAAACGTATGATTACTAGTCATATCAACTTCCCCGCTCCAACAAGTGGTGGGGAACGGGTTTGGCACTGCGCCAAACTCATCCACCCTGACACGCCCAACCGCAGCGAACTACACTATACATTCGAAGATGACCGTGATTTCTAGTTCGGAATTCAGTGAAAATTTAATTATGCACACAGGTTTGACAAAACCACTGGCTCTCCTGTGGAAGCATGCACGGGCTGGCGTTTCCACACTTTGCATGCAGGCGTCCACCGCGGCCCACTAGCGTTTCGAGGCGTCGGCGCGTTCAACGACAAGAACTGTAGATATCGGTTTAACGTCCGCCAGCGTTTGTCAGCGTCCACCAGCGTCTGTCAGCGTCTCGGAGGGATAAAAAGTATAAGTATCGGTTTGGCGCCTGCCAGTGTATCTACCAGGCGTTCTACAGAGCTGACACCTACGGAGTACAGAATATGGAAGTACGAGGGTATCAAAGCTGCTGCAATGGGCGGAAATTGCGGCATGTTTCGACCGCACCGTGCAACTTACCGCCACTTAAGGCACGTTTCCGCCCGAAAAACTAAGGCTAGGTTCTCATAACCGTGCCCGACGGTCAAGCAGGCAACGTCAGAGGCTATGCTGCTTACAAAAGTTGAAAAACAGCAAGCAAAACGCGGCGCGCTCAGCTTTTAGGCCCATTGGCGCCCGATAGGGCCCATGCGCCGCTGCCAGTGATTGGCGTGTAGTTTGACGATTGCGAGTTTGTGCTCTGCTCGCTGCGGTCGGTTTTTCTGGCCTCTCTCGTCTCTTAGGAACAGTCGTCGTGCGCCTCCTGTTTGCCATCGCACAATGCGATCGTTGGGACCACGTTACGTCTGCGTGCCGGGACTCGAAGTGATCGCAATTGAAATAAAGAGGGTCTTATTGCGGGCGCTTTTTCGTGGTTCCTTCTCTTCAATAAGTCAACAACCACAGGGCAATTCTATTTTTGAACTGTATTACCTATGAAGTGTGGTCGCGGGAATTGCCTTTAACACAATTCTGTGAAACCCAATGACAAAACTTTTGATCTTCAGCGCAAATTTCGAGTGAGGAAAAACGCCATCACTTATGGGCCAACTCAGTAGTTGCTACATCACTAGTGTCTTTTGAGGGTTTTGGGCAGAGGGAAATAGAGAGAATGTTTCAGCCCTGATCTGTGTCTCGTGTCGATCACTCTGACGTTCACAACTGATTTCAGCCAAATCCACTGTATCAGATGATTTGGCTACTGACATTCTGTGGATGGGTTAGTGTACTGGCGCCGCTACCGTTCACCGTCTGGTACTATATTATAGGCGAAGGAACGAGGTAAGTCCCTGTTCCCTGTTTGTGTGCTTTCTATTCATAGAACTTTTAGATCTCTCAACCAATCCGTTGTCATGTGTCACGTGTTCCGAACCACTATGGAGGCTATACCACACACCATCGATACTATGATGACGCTTTTCAGTGTGTTACTCGCAGCAGCGAGGTGGGTGCAGTGATCTAGGAAACTTCTTGATTTGCCTCCTCTGATCATAATCCGTGATTTACGTAATGATTCGGATGCTGATTGATCGGCGTTCGATGCTCGGGATCGGTTGTCGCCATTTTTTACCTTTCATGCAACCGAGCTAAGCCACTGATTGGGGAACTTCGTTATAACGGCTCAATGAAGTTTTAATGAAACGAGTAGCAATATATGGTCCTGGCCCACCGAAGTAGCTGCTTCTAGACAGCCTAGAGTCGAGCCCTCAATCAAGAACCTAGAAATGTGTTGC